GTTGGGGCCGGGCCGCGGGCGGTGGGCGCTGCTGCTGCTCCTGCTGCACTTGCTGCGGGCGCTGGCGCAAGGTAGGTGACCCCCTCCCCGGGGCGGGCTGCGGGGCTGCGCGACCCCCCGCCGGACCCTCGGAGCGCGCCCGGGGCCGACTTCCTGGGCGCCACCTGTTCTGTGCTGTGGACGGACGTCCCCGGGGTGACTTTGCAGGTGGACGCCTCTGGGCTGAGGTCTAGGGGTGCACGTTCTTGGGTGACACCTCTGGCCGGGCTTCGGGGTGCCCGTTCTTGGGGTGACGCCTGAGCTGTCCCTTGTGGACACCGCCGGGGAGAGGCTCTGTCTGGAGCGGACACCTCTGGGCTGAGCGGCGGGGCTGCACAGTCTTAGGCTCCCACCTTTGGGGGTGTGCTGTAACACGAGTGGACGCCCCCGAGGTGACTTTGCAGGTGGACACCCCTGGGCTGAGGTTTAGGGGTACAGCGTCGTGGGTGACACCTTTGGGCCGGGTTTTGTGGGCGCCACCTGGTCTGTCTTATGAATGAGCATCTCTGAGGTGACTTTGCAAGTGGACACCTCTGGACTGGCTTTCAGGGGTGCACGGCCGGGGAGCGACACCCTGAGCTGTACTTTGTGGCTACCATCTGGGCTGGACTACGCTGTGAGTTTTAGGGCTGCACAGTCTTGGGGTGACATTTTCTGGGGCGAACTGTGTGGTGGGTGGACATTACTGAGGCGGCTTTGCAGGTGTATGCAGTGCACAGTCTTGGGGTGTCCCCCTGGGATGGACTGTGGATGCACTTCCCTGGGCTCTGCTGTCAGGGCGCACACCCCTGGGATGGACTGTATTAGAACGGACGTCCCTCGGTGGACTTTATAGATGGACACATCTGGGCTAGGCCTCCGGGGTGTGAAATCCTAGAGTGTACTCCTCTGGGATGGACTGTTTGAGTGCCCCCCCCCCCCATAATATACGTACACACCCCCGGTGGCTCTACGGGTGGATCCTGTGGAGGACGTTCAGCCTGGAGTGGACTATGGATAGATACCTTTGGGGTACACTTTGGGGATGGACACCCCTGGAGTAGATAGCCCTGACGCGGGCCCTGGGTGCTCACCCTTCGGATGGACTGTGTAGATGGGTTTTGCTTGGGATGAACATCTTTGGAGTGGACTCTGGGGGTGCGCGCCACCTGGGGTGCATCCCCCAGGGTAGACTTCAGTGGGTGCGGCGTGGTGGGCACCCCTCAGCGCAGCGCTGGGAACTTTGCGAGCATTTCGGGCCCCCTAGCCTCTGAATCACCGGGTCAGGATTGCGGGCTCTGGGTCTGGAGGCCGCGAAGGGGTTAACGCGGTGTGTCTCTAATTGGCGCCAGCCGTTGGAACGCGGTCGGGGTAGCCGAGGGGCTGGAGAAGGTGCCCTGAGTGTTGTCTACTGCATTTTCTTTTTTCCTTCTTTTATTTTTTTAATCGGAGCCGGGGAAGAACCTTTAAAGTTGAGCCCCGAGCCACCGTGGCTTCAAAGAACGCCCAGCGCGTCCTATTGCACTGATTAAACACGAGCTGATTCGTATCTGAGTCTGCACCGCAGAGTCTTGTTAAGGATGAGTGACGTCCGAGGTGGACCTCAAATACCAAGCGCCAGTCACTATCAGCCGCCCTTTCCTTCCCTGTCCCCGGGGCTGGCCCCTTCCCCCCAGTCCCGATGCCTCACCCTAAGGGGGTGCTTTGTACTCCGTGGAGCAAAACTTTGAGAGCCCATGGCTTTGCCTCCGGGCGTTGTTTTCCTCCCTTGGCTGGCTTCTGCCTGGAACACGGAGGTGTTCTCTAAAATAAGGAAAGAGGATCTGCCGATTCCAGGTGACCTTTCGCAAATGGAGATGGAATCTCTCCCGAAAGAGCTTTCCCTCCTAAATCTGGATTTCCCCTGCTTAAACCTGAAGCGAGCGTGTGCCAGTCAGTTTTCTCCTGCTCAGGGAGGTTGCTGGTCTAAAAACATAAAAAGCAGACATAATCGTTTAACATGACTTTTGATGGAGTCTTTAAAACAGATTAGTGAACCTGCTTTGCATTTGGTAGTTTAGAAAAATTAGCTTCCTAGTTCATCGCTTGTACCACTGTAAGGCACTGGGTATTTGGAGATAGCAGGAGACAGGAATATTATACTTAAATTATGAATAGCTGTATTCTGTGTTATATGTGCCGATGAATTATGTGTGGCAAAAGACAAACAAACAATGACTTAAATGTAGTATTTAAAAGTCTGACTTCAAAATTACAATGATAGCTTGACAAGTACCTAATAATTTAGTATTCCTTAATTAATTACTTTAGTTTATATTCAGATAGCAGCTTTCCCTCCCTCCTATCCTCTCAGACCCTCCTTTTCCCCTCCCTTTCCCCTCTCTTTCCCCCATTCTCCTGTCTTCCCTTTCTCCCCAGAAAAGGGGAGACCTCCCATGGATATCAGCCAGGCTTGACACCAGGCTGCAGTAGGCCTGGGGCATCTTCTAGTGTGGCCAGACAAGGCAGCCCTGTCAGGGGAAAGGGATCCAAAGGCAGGCAACAGAATCAGAGGCAGCCCCTGTTCCCCTTACTAGGGACTCCACTTGGAAACTGTCTATGGGCTACATCTGAGCAGGGTTCTAGGTTTCTCCAAGCATGTTCCTTGGATGGGTTATCAGTCTCTGCAGGGCCCCCAGGGCCCAGGTTTGTTTGTTTGTTTTGGCTCTGTTGATCTTCTTTTGGAGCTCCTGTCCCTTATAACTTAGTATTCTTATTCAAGCTTATGCAATGTTATCTGAGCGGCAGCCCTCTTTCCCGTAGGTTTTGAGAAATGTCCCCTTCCGTGTTTTCTATATGTATATGGTTTCTGCTTACTTTAACCCTTCCACATGCAACATATGCAGTCCATTTTGTGTGTGCGTATGCATGGGTACATGCACACCATTTTTTACCTAAGGATGTTACCCAGAGGGGAAAAAGACGTTTACTGATTGTCAGAGAAGCCAAGTTCAAGTGAAGAAATTGAGATCACTTAGGATGACCTTCAGAGACAGAGTTCAGTTTCTCTTCCCAAAAATAAAACTGACTTTCACATCGCAGTCACTTATGCATTTTAAGATTGGCATACTTCGAGCGGTGGGAAAGACCACTTGGAGCCCCCGCTTTGGAGAGTACCAGAGTTCATCCGCTGTACCGGGCAGGCTGTGTAAAGCATTGTCCTTTCACAGTTGCAGTGTTCGTGAAAATCATCAATTTTTATACATGCATATACTCAGGCAACAGCTATACTTTTCAAAGGGAGGAAATCTTTTATTCCTTCTTGCCAGTGAAAACACAGGTACCCGTTTTACATTTATATGGTGCAAGAAAGCATGCAGATCTTTTAGGGTAAAATTTCAAATAGGTTGTCACAAATTTTAAATCCATCGACAGGTTTCTGTTCTTTGTGCAATGTGAAATGTGTAATATATCCATCATTTTTCATTTCATATTGAAAATTCATATTACAGAGGAGATGTCACCATTTGACAAAACCTCATGTATCTTGAAAATGAAAATTCTGGTGCTGCTGTCGGGATTTCTGATGGGATGATGAGTTGGTGGGTCATATGCACAGGAATGCATTCTCTAGGATCTTATCAGATAAAATGTAACGTTTGCATGGAGCAGTTGCCACTAAGTTGAAACTGTCATGACGCCGTATTGATACTGTGCATCTGTCTAAGGCTGTTTCTGATTCCTCTGTAGGCTTTTCCTCTTAGGATGCTTCCTGTAGGTTGGCCTGGCCATGACTTCTAGCAGACAGGGCAACTCCATTGCTAGAAGCGATCTATGTGTGGCTGAAGCTAAAGCAGGGTCTGTGTTTCTGGCCGTGACGTGAAGCTCCGGGTTTCGAGCTTGCGCGTGTGACGCCGGAGTATGTGCTGCAGTGTCTTCTCTATGCACAGAGGTGGAGGTTCCGTCCTTGTTGGTGTGTGCTTAATCGTTCACGACTTGTCTGGAGTTTTAAAAAGCCAAGTTGTTAATTCTGGAAGGCAGGTGGCAATGCATACTTTTTTTGTGCTGTGCACCAAGTGTGAATGGTTGGGATAGAGGGCTTCTGAGGCTAGAGATGCATCATAAGGACAGGGGTGTCCTGGGGTATTCTGCTTCTCTGGGGTTAGGGAGATGGCTCAGTTAGTGAAGTGCTTGCTGGGAAAGCATGAAGACCTTAGTTCAGATCCATGGAACCCACTTAAAAGTCCGCTGAGGGAGAGGTAGGACAGAGGCAGGCCTATCCCCTGGAGAGGCTTGGTCAGTCAGGTTAGCAGCATTCCTAAGCTCTGGCTTCAGTGAGAGACCCTGTCTTAAAATAAAACTTGCGGTTACTTCCAGCCTCTCGGATCTGCTCCTCTCAACACTGGGCTACATACATTAGAATCAGGTGGGACGTTTGAGGATATGCAGGATCAGCTCATTTCAGGTGAGCCACCCAGTGCTTTTCAGGTGCCTCGCACATTCACTGTCTTTTAGGAATCCCTGGCTTTGTTGCTTTGTTGCCTCACTCCAGTTACCAGCAACTTTCTGGAAACTTCCCCGACGCAGCAACTTGGCTGCACACTAGAACCCTCTGGGGGCTGTGAGGCTTCCTTGACTCGAGGTTTGGCCTCAGCAGTGGGGTATGGAGGCTCCCAGTTGATTCTGATTATTACTCAGGGTTGGGAGCTACTCTTCTGTGTGACTCCATTCTCCCTTTAACCTTGTCCCCAAGCCTTCAGATCCTAGTGGCTTCTGTGGACCTGGAACCTGTGTTCCTGCATAGGTCCTGAGCTCATTTTCTGATCAGCCCTTTTAGTTTGCATTGTGTTCCTTGGTAATGAACCTGCTCAGCTCCTGACTAGAGCTACTCCTGGGATTGCATTAGAATCATTAGTGACATTTATTTATGTGACAGGGTTTCCTGTGACCTGCACAAACTTACTGTGTAGCTAAGGATGGCTTTGAACTTCTTATCCGCTGCTTCTTCACCCTGAGTTCTGGGATTCTGTAACACCGGTGCCACCATACCCAGTTTATCACTAGTGAAATTTAA